ACGCGAATTGAATATTCAGGAGCGGCTCGGACTCGCGTCGATTATCAAAAACTCACTCATGTTACTTATATGATAATTTACATTGATGGTACTCGGAGAGGAATTCGTGCTAGCGTATTATGAAATTACCAACTGTCCGCGACACTTTCTCTCACTTTTTTTTTTTTATTATTATTTTTGTTAAATTGACGAACATCTCTGAACATTTCTCTGAACTTCCGTACTACGTTTCGTTGGGATTTTGGAGCGCGCGACGATTTCCCGTTCCCGTTTCTGCATAAGATCGCGCGACGATTAAGTCGTTAATACGAAGGCGTGCATCAGACGGATTAGGTGCAATTACGGCCGCTGTGCACGGCATATATAACACCTGTGCAAACGCAGTTTGCGTGCGTGCACGCGTTCTCCCGTTTCTCCCGTTCATGCCAACGTCCCGTTTGTACCCGAGAGGGGCGGCGAAGTGGACAACCACTGCTATGGAATTCGGCTTCTTTATTTTTACGAGAGGTAACATCGGAAACCAGCCTCTTTGCGGCCCTTCTCACCTGTTACATACCACCGCCATTTATGTTACCATTTAACCAGAAGTTAAGAATCTCCTCGTACATAAAACACGGCGAATTACCGTCGCGCCGATAATCTACCTGTATACACTCGAATTGTCTTCCTTCTTCTTCTATATATATATATATATATATATATATATATATATATATATATACCTCTCTCTCTCCTCCCTTTCCTTCTCTTTCTTTCTTTCAAACTTACTCATTTGAAGTGACAAATTTTGAAGTGTAATACTCTCGCTTAAAATACTTAAAATTCTCGATATTTGCCTATTCTCTTCTCCTTCATTTGTTTACTTTATCGAGCGTGCCAATTTCTTTTCCTACGTGTGAAGTATATAAAAGACGCATGGAGATACGTATATGTATAATAATGGAAGCTTTTTAATGAAGTTACCTCGCGTAGCACTGGAAAACTATGAATATTTAAAGTTCTCCGTATAATTATATAAGTAATCTAATTATAAGCTCACAAACGTAACAGAAATAGTTTGGATGAGTCTTACAATCCTCGACATTTCATATAACAATAACAAGTCTGCGATATTTCTGTGAACAAACAAACGATATAACGATGCAAGAACATTATCAATCAAATGACAATGCAATCAACATGCTATATCTGAAAAATTTGATCATAAAGGACAATGATCAAATAAAACTTTTTCCTTATGAACTTACTAAAAAAAAAATTAGTTTTAAATCAAGATTATATATTCTCATATATAAGAATATTATAATCTTTATATAAGATTTATAATAGATTTATATAAGATTTATATAGATTTATATAAGATTTTTAGTCTTGAATCAAGCAATCACGTAATACTTGCACCAATACAAATTCAATTAAATCAAAACTAAAATTTTGAATCAATAATTTTTATAATATTCTTGCTCGTATATAAAAATATTTATCTTGATTTAAGATTTAATTTTTTTTCTCATGCTACGTGAAAAGAGAAAAATTTATATTGAATTTATTGCAAAAAAAGATACGCGATTGATATCTTGATTTTTTTCTGGTAGCATATTAAAATTTAGCATCCCAAAAAAGTTATTTCCATTTCTTGTACTAAAAATTATTCAAAATTTGTAAATTAATGTAGTATTATCATTAATTATAAATAAAAAAAAAAGTTTCCCAAATAACATGAATATGTCGACAATTTCTCCTTTCATCGATCTACAGCAATTTCGTTTCTCACGCGCTCTCTCAATTAGCTACCTCATTAATATAACATCAAAATAAAAATTAGCATTTCAAACTTTTCTACCAAATCGATTCCGACAGGAAACATCGACACGCTTAATCGCCTAAGTTACGCTAATCCGACGAAAAATTCGTATCTTATAAATGAAACAGCCATTAAGAATTAACATAGTCATCGTGTATTTTAATTAGATCTCCGGAGGAGAAGAATATTTCTCGTTTCATTGGGGAGGGGGAGGAGGAGGGAGGTGGGGGGGGGGGAGGGACCAAAGCGCGTTCGCCAGGCTTTTCCGCCGTCGGGAAAACGTCGCCGCGGCCGATTTCAGATACCTTAAAGCGGGCGTGTGTGGGTGCCCCGTAGTACGACGGCGCGATCCGTGATGTGAATGGATATACCTACGCGCGGGTATCTCTTACCGGCGCGTATCCGCCGCGGCGCATTATAGCGCTCTCGGATCGAGAAAGAATTATTACCGCCGCTCTTCGCTATCGCGGGCGCGCCGCGTTTCCCCGATGGCCTCGCGCGAGAGCGGGCACGTGGGTGTAAAACGGTTCGCGCAATGAACGGCAGCTTTCGTCGCCGTATATGGATATTTTCTAGACAGCCACGCGTCATCGGGCCCCGCCACCCGACTCCCTTTTCTCGTTATTATTACGAGGGGAAACAAAAACCCCCGTTACGTTTCATTGCTCGTTATCACTCCGTCGTTCCGAGTCGCGTGAGGATCGTTCTCTTGGCCGTTCGCGCGCGCGCGCGCGCGCGCGCGTTACGTGTATTATTCTGTTCCTTTCTTTCTCTCTTTTAAGGTTTGCAATGGTGGCAACTTTAAAAATCAGATAATACAGATCAGCCAGAAGAGATGATCTTCATGGTACAAATTGAGAAAATTAAATTAAATAGGCTAATCAAGAGTCAACGCTGTTGATAGTGCGTGCTTGTTTTTTTAAAAAAAATAGCTTATTTATTTATTCAATACACAAACATGTAAATTTATTTCATTCGTGGACGCATTTCGAAGGTTTTTGACTCGTCTTCGAGTTATCTTCAGCGAAGTAAAGAAATAAATTATTTATAGTATTATAAAAATATAACACGGTAAACAAACGTAAAAATCAATTTTTATGTGCTCTGATCTTGTGGTGTTTTGCAGAATGATCTTTATGGTATTTTGCAGAATGATCTTGTACTATTGGACTATTTTTTTATTTCTCATTTGATTCTGATTTGTACGCAAATAAATATTAGAAATTGTCGTTTGATTTTCAAACGCCTTTTATTGCATGTTCAACTTTTCATCAATAACAAATTAATTTGTTATAAATCTTTTTGTAACATATGGTGCAAAGTTAGATAATCGATCACTAAATCATACCTGAGTATTCTAATTATATTTTCTTTGAAAGTATCGAATTTATGAATGAAAATAATTAAAAATATAAAATTAATAAAAGAAATCATTAATAGATTACTTAAGAGAATTATAAATCTATTTTATTAATAATTTTTTGAAACAAGAATTAAATATTTAATAAATAACAATGAAATAACAACAACGAAGAAAAGATTAAAGATGTCAAAATTGAAATTATTTGAATTTATTTTTACAATTGACATTTTTATTCATATTAACTATTAATTTACTGTTATCAATTATCAATTTTATAATAATATAGAAAATCCTTGTGTTGATATTTAAAAAACTTGATAAATTTTATGAAAATATTTTTTATAATTACAATTTTTTAATAATTACAAAAATGTATATATAATGAATATAAATTTTACAATAAATCTTTTATGAAAATATAAAAATTCAAAATAAAATTGCTTAATTATATCATATTATTAATATATTAACAAATAAATTAATATATCATCATATATAATACATAAAAAAGTAACATAAATTACACTTTATTTTGTTAAATGGTATTAACAAGCATAGTGTAATTTGTTAAGCTATTACTCATTATTTATTTCATGCTTTTGTTATTAAAATGTTTTTTATGTTAAATAATATAAAATACGGTGAGGTACGACTTGTGCGATTGGTAATGTTTAGCGACTCTTTCCTGATTATTATTATCATCCACTTTCTGTTTAAGATAAACGCGCGTATCGTATCCGATCATATGTGAAATTGCAATTGGTACAAGATAAATTATCATTGCCATTTCATGTCCTTAATTTAGGGCGAAAAATGCGTTCTATTTTCATATGAACTCGGCGTTCTAAACTTAAACGGCATGCTTGCTCGGTATTAATTTTAGTGGGTCTTCGCCGACACTCCGACGCATTCGCTTTCCCGCGGACGAAGGACCGGAAAAACGACCAGCGCTTACACACAAAATGTCTAGTTAACATAAATAGCACTGTCTTCTTTCGTGCTTGCAGAATGTGTCAAGATGACATCCATCTCCTCTTTATGTGGCGTCATCGTCATCCTGCTTTACAGTCCGATCGCGTATACATGCGGTAAGTGTTTCTTAGGACAGTGTTACGTAAACATACTCCGAATCATGGAGGAGAATAATAACAGTCGCTTCCAATATTCATAGCAGAGGACGACAAAATACAGGAGTTGAGTATGTCCTTTACTCGACACCCGCAGCCTCTGGCCGCTCCATTGAATGATGATGTGAACTTCGAGTGCAGCCTCAACATCCCCGCGGAGCGTTTCGCTTGGCACCACAGACCCGTTGGCTCAAACAAATGGATCCCCCTGGCCAATCTCAATAACGCCGGTGGTAAGACATCTCGACACGTTGTCACTTTCGATAACGAGTCGAAGGCCGGGGACTATCGTTGTATCGCGTTCTTTGGTGAGACATTCGATATTTTACATATCTTGTTCGATAAAAATTTTTCTGTTTGAAAAATATACGCAACACGAGATAATATTAGTATTGTGATAAAATGGCTTTGATTCAAAAAGTATACAAAAGATTTGTTCATTTTTAATTCCTTCACAGGCATCAGCGGCTTAGCGTCAGATCCAGCAAAATTGACACTCGCGATGATACACAAATTCTCCGACAAGGCCGACGTTTTCCTTGAAGTGGCAGAAGGTAATACCGTGCCAATTACTTGTCCCGTGCCGTATTCGGAACCGGAGGCCATAGTACAGTTTTACAAGAGTAAGGTGCCTATCGAAAATACGGATCTGGTGAACGGCAAGACAATGGTCATCAGGAATGTCAGATCGGCAGATAGCGGATCGTACCACTGTAGCGTTTACAATTACATAACGCAGGAAACATTCACGAGCAACTATAAGACCATTTTGACGGTACACACGAATTTGACTTTCACATTTCCATACCTCACTAAACAACCACAAACGGAATACACGGTTCTGCGTGGCAAGAATGTTACGTTGGAATGTTTCGGTGCTGGTTATCCAGTGCCACGGGTCACCTGGATTCGTCTAGGCGGCTCTCTACCATCGAAATCGATCAGATCGTCCATCGGTCTAACGTTGGTCCACGTGCAACCGGCTGATCGCGGGGAATACGATTGCGTGTGGGGCACCGATAATCGACAAATCAAGTCAGCGATAATCCTAAGGGTGGTGGAACCACCGAGAGTCACGAAACAGCCGAGTGCCTGCAAGTTCCACGAGGGTGGAAAATTACAGCTCTCATGTGACGTGATGGGTGAGCCGCAACCGATTATCGAGTGGCTTATCAACGGAGAGTCTTTGATGCCCAGCAGGACACAGGACATGATAGGCTCCACTCTTCTCATATCTGAAGTTGAGAAGAAACACGCCGGAATCGTTCAGTGCGTCGCCAGCAACGAATATGGATCACATTCAGGATACAACCTGTTACAGGTACAACCGAAGGAGCACGTTGTCGGCGGCAAGGTCGAATCGAAGCCGGATTACGGAACCGTGTCGAGGCATAAACATACCAGGGGCGGCGGTAGACGTAGGAATAAAGAAGGAAAGAAGAAGGGAGGCGCAGGTAGTTATTTGCTTTTGTGTTATCGTCGTTCCGTACGTTTCCTTATCGAGCGTTTTATCGATTGTTTGGTTGCGATATCGCCGATTAAATTCTTCAGCACGGTTTTCTTTCGTAAAAAATTTTAGAACTCGTAATTTTTAAGCATAAAATTAACAGTTTCCGCATAATTAATAATTTAATCCTTGATTATCTTATTCCGGATTGTCGCTTAATTTTTAATCATTTTAAAAACTGAATGCATTGTATTAATTATTTGATAAGAAGAAAATAAGCATAAAATAATCGTTTTAATTTGCAAATGCATTAATGAATACAATTTTAAAAATCTTAAAATTCTTTCTTGTATATGTATAGCATATCTGAATATCGTAATAGACTTCATTTTTTTTGCACTTTTCCTTCAAACTATTCAGATTTACGACCTTATTCTTCTCGAAACTAATTGTAAGTAAAATTATTTAAAACTATTATTGTTATATCCAACTTCTTAATCGCGGATATAATTCCAATCTCCATATTCGACAGCATCTAGATTGATATATTAAATACAAATAAGAATAAAGAAAGAAGATGTCGATCTTTTTTACGTGGGGATCCAGGGGGCGGAGTCCCTGGCCAGAACTCGCGAGCCTCCGAACACAGCGATATGAGTTAGTTGTTTTTGCTATTTTTCTTCCAACCGATGTCTTCCCGCCGCTTATTACTCACCATAGGCTCAATGGCGCAGCTTTTGGTGGACCATTTTAATGTTTCGATATATAAACTTTAATTACTTTATAAGCAAACGGAATTACAGTGAAAAAAATGCATATAAATGTATATAACTAATATATTATAATTAAGAGTCATACTTTTTATTTTTTTATATTTTATTTATTTCTATACCAATAATTACATAATATATTATAGTGTAATCTTTTACATTTCAGTCAAGAGAATGATATCTTTATTAAATTCCTCGTCTTCTTTTCAGCAGCACTGCTTTTAGTACCTCCAAATCAACCTAATGTCACAAGATTGTCCGATATCTCTGTCATGGTACGGTGGTCGGTGCCGGAGAACAAAGGTCTACCGATACAATTTTTTAAAGTCCAGTATCGAGAAATTAATTCAAAACTAGTTAACGGCAAGTCGCTTGGCAATAAGTGGATGACGGCTAATTCCGAGATACCAAATCATGTACGATCCTTCGAAGTAACCGATTTGCAGCCTAATCATACTTATAAATTCAGGATTGCGGCAGTATATTCGAATAACGACAATAAATTGAGCCCAAATTCCGGGCGTTTCCATCTCAATAGAGACACTGGTATTGAAAGCAACAAAATGCCAATACCCTTGTTAACTAATACCGAGGCATTGGGACCGCATCAGGTGTTGTTGATTTGGCAGAATCCCGACAAATCGGCAGAAATCGACGGGTTTTATATATATCATCGGGCTTCCACCACAGCTGGCGATTATCTAAAGACTACTGTCGAGGGCAAGGATGCCTTTAACATGACCATTTCTCATTTACAACCTGACACTACATACGAATTCAAAGTACAAAGCTTCTCCGTGGACGCGGCATCGGAATTTTCCCAGATATTGCGGGAAAAAACTAAAAAGCTCATCGTCGAGCATCCGGTTCAGCAAGTGGCAGCGGAAAATAAATTGCGACCGAGCGAGAGTAATAAGAATGTCAGTATACACGCTATAATCGGTGGCGTATTCGGAGCTTCGATTATTCTAATTGCTCTCGCCTTCGCAGCAAGATTCTTGTACAAAAGAGCGAAATACAAACAAAATCAGGAATCGCAAAGTGAAGGTATGTGAAATAATTTGACAAATGCATTTGTGTTCTTGCATTTTTGTTTATAATCTTGAATGTAGATAACGTTCTCTTTTTTTAATGGGACACAGGTAAACCGATAACAAATGGGCGAGTAATGAACGGTGGAGTCACAGACTCCAAGATTAACATTACGTCCAATCCGCTTGCCGGACTTGATGCATCCGAAGACATAATGCAACCTAAGGTCAGTATTTGTAAGTAACAACATCTGCACTTTTATTTCACCGGAAGAAAGTAACGGAACTGAATGCTTACATTCGACTTTTATCCAGCAAAAATGAAAATTAATCGAGAGAATTTCGTGTTCAAGTTCTCCGTGTACAATTTTATTTATTTGATTTCTTCGAAATATAGTTTCTTACTTCTAATCAGTCATTTACTTTCTTTCCGGGAGTGAGTACGATTCTAGACGAATGCGGAAAACATGTGGTGTAAAATTAAAATAAAATTCCGTTGCTTTAACAATTTACTAGAACAATTTACGTACGAGTTGAGTTCTTAATCAAACGAGATGTTTTACTAAATCTTGTGCGAGCATTGCATTTGCGTTTGTAACTAAACATCGATTTCTGCTCTCGTCTAGTAGTGTAAATCCGACATTAAGCTATCCGATATTAAGAAGACTAGTCTTTTCTAGTTTTAGCATTGGTCGCGCGCTGCTCTTTAATTCTACTCGCTCTCTGCATTCTCTCTGGAGCCGCTTTTCTTTTGTTTTTCCGAACGCGACACACGCACGTTACCACTTACACGCTCTAGATCTGAAAAACGAAGCGAACGAACGAACGAACACGCATGTTTCTAAATCCAGAGCGGACAACAGTCATCGATGGAAATGACGTCGTTTCTAAACGGCCAGAACAACAATGGCAGCAACAACGGCCATAACAACGGCGACGCAGCCGGGTCTGACGTGAATGTTACGTCACATAGCGAGTCGTCGTCTCTGCGCCAAGGGCCGCTGCCTATCGAACAACGTTTGTGAGAATGATCGCAGCCATATCTCTGTTTTATAGACGGTAAGAACGCGGCCTGACCCGCATCCTCAAAGACGGACTTCTCATTCGTATTCACCCACAAGTCTGTTAACAAATTTCATTTCGCGGAGAAAAATGTGAGGACTTGTCGACACGTTATCTCAATGAGAAACTTATAGACTGTATTTAACGTTCAGCTATCGCAACGATGAGACTGTTGCAAGACATTTACAGGGTGTCTTAAGTAGATATGTTCAAAATATATCGCTACCGTAGATTGGGATTGATTTCGCGTAACTTGCACGGGAAAATATATACTTGACGCTTCAGATTTCCCGGCAGAGAAATACATTGCATTATATTTTATATCCAATATAATGTGTTACAGCTAATCGATTATAGTATCGCGAAAAAATATTTCTTTAACGTGTTCTTTATCAACAGATACAGCTTTTCACGGCAGCTGAAATAGTCCCTCTTTATAGTGCATAGAAAGTTAAACGATCTGATTGCAATCTGTGACATATTCTTTCTCTTTCTTTTTGTAAGAGAACGTTATTAACACCTTTGCCCGTTAAGTAGGTATGAAGTTTAATTAATGTACCTGCGAAGTAACTGAGTTAACTGTTACATATCTACTTATCGGTGCAAACTGATGAGCACTGGACGACGTTGTTAATAATTTTTTTATTCCTTCTAGCGATACATTTCTATGCCACTTTTACAACGGGCTACTTTTAAAGAATTTATAATAAAAAAAGGCTTATGTATTTAAAGTACATAACGTAAGGATACACGATACGTATAGGTATATTTAACTATTAAAATTGTCAATGTCGAAAAGGAGGTAGTATAATTAATTTTACTAGATAGAGTTATTAGAAGTATTTTTTTTTATAAATTAATGAAGTAATGGCTGAGTCATATATTAACATTATCTTGATGTGTATGTCTGTT